GAACATGCAGAGCACTGCCCCTCTCTAGCTTCCACGCGTCTTCGAACGCTCCAGCGCATATATTTTAAATTTCGAACATCCCGCTTGTGTTTGAATTTCAAATGTTTTGGCACTCTTCGCTTCGAACTCATTTCTTGGACACAGTCTCGTTACCACTTCGAGACTTCTTTTGAATATATCTCCATAACTGTCACTCGAAGCTCCGAGCTTTGACATGTTCATTCGAAGAACTGCTTCTACCATTTCGAACCATGACATCTTGCTTTATTCCAACGAAACATCCAATTTGCTTCGTTTCGAACTGTATCATCAAAATCTTCAGCCAACACCATGTTAAGAGAATTCTTAAATAGGTGAATGGGACAAGTGACTATGGTATATGCTATACTCTCATGGATCTAGTTCTGCCTTAAGTGGTTTTTGTGATGCTGATTGGGCAGGAAGTGCTGATGATAGAAACAGTACATCAGGAGGATGCTTCTTTCTAGGAAATAATCCCATATCTTGGTTCAGTAAGAAGAAAAATTGTGTGTCTGTGTCCACTGCTGAGGCTGAGTATATTGTTGCAGGAAGCAATTGTTCTTAATTGGTTTGGATGAAACAAATGTTAACATAATATAATGTCAAACAATATGTCATAACATTATTCTGTGACAATCTAAGTTCCATAAACATATCCAAAAATCCTATTCAACACAACAAGACCAAACATATTGATATCCGTCATCACTTCATAAGAGAGCTTGTTGAAGAAAAGATTATTGCCTTAGAACATGTAGCCACTAAATTGCAATTGCCTGACATTTTTACTAAGGCTCTGGATGTTAATCAGTTTGAGAACTTAAGAAGAAAATTAGGGATTTTCCTATATGAGGGTTTGTAGCAATTAAAGGCGTGTGGGAATATCATTAAAGTGATATTATATTATTTATGTTTCCAACAAATCAAATTTTGAAAGCAATCATTACAAGACTGTCTCAAATTGTTTTCCACATGCTACAAAATCACATCTTTCTACTTTCACAAACTCTTCATTCTCATATATAGAAAAAGAAACCTTGTCATTCTTCATCTCTCTGCTCAAAAAATTTCAAAGATGTCTCAACATCATACATCGTCTTCCTCAAAATCTGTCAACCTCCCTGAGAAACTCTCTCTTGACAAAGTACTTGGCGTTACTCCTCTAACAACTATCCCACCTCTTGAGAAGAAAGTCAAGAAACCCAGATCATCACCTGCAAAGAAATCCAAAGACGATAAAGGTAATACTTCTACTGCTACTGATGATAAGACAAAAGAAGAGATTGTTAATGTTGATAGAAGCATTAGAAGACTAGTATATAGAGTGTTAAATAAAGGTTTTGATGTGCCTAGGATTTCTACCCCTCTTTCTCGTATACCTGCTTCAGTTGACAAAAGAAATGACCCTAAAAGTGTTGTTGAATCATCTATCTCCAAGAAAGATGCTGCTGAAAGGAAACTTGATAAGCTTGCTACTTCTGCTCTAAAGGAAGTGGAAGAGGATGTTGAACAAGATGCTGAGAAGAAATCCCCTGCTAAGGAAGATGTCGCTGGCTCTAAAGCTGTAGAAAATCCAAATGATGTTAATGTAGTTAATGTTGATGAGTTGTCTGACAATGAGCTCATCTCTAATGTGGTGCCTGGAATTGCAAAAAGGCTCAAATCCAGGAAAGTGAAGGATGTAAGTGTCACACCCCCTGCCAAGACTGCTAAGAAGAAAACCATGTATGGTCCCCCAAAGCCTGGAAGTAAAGTGGTTCCTCCCTCTAGCAAAAGAAAACTAGACCTGATAGCTCCACAAATGATGATGATGTTTAAAAGAGATCTAAAAGCAAGACGAAAGATGTATTAGTTAAAGAAGCTGACTCTGAGTATGATGTCGAGTAAGATGCCCAGGACATCTCTCCTATCAAAAAGTCTATAAGCAAGAAGATTTCTGTTAGGGTTCCTGATGATCCTCTTGACAACATTTCCTTCCATTCTATTGGGAATGATGAAAAGTGGAAATATGTATTTCAAAGAAGAATTTCCCTTAAAAGATAATTGGGAGCTGGTGCACTGAAGTACAAAGAAATTATAGAGCTAACATCTTCTGCTGGATTGATGAAAATTGTTACCAAGTTTGCCAAATGCTATGTGACTCTTGTTAAGGAATTTATTGTTAATATTCCTATTGACTCTGTTGATCATAAGAGTAAGGAGTATAGAAAGGTGTTTGTAAGAGGTGGGTGTGTAGAATTTTCCCCTGCTATCATAAATAGATTTCCGGATAGGTCTAAAGATGACTATTGTAAGCTGGAAGTAACTGAAAATCAAGTGTGCAAAGCCATCACTGCTAACCAAGTGACTGAGTGGCCTATGAAGAATAAGCTTCATGTTAGCAAGCTAAGTGTGAAATATTCTATCTTGCATAGAATTGGAGCTGCTAACTGAGTTCCTACTAACCATACTTCAACCATCAATATTGGCTTAGGAAAGTTTATTTATGCTGTTGGAAACAAGAAACTGTCTGATTATGGTACTTACATTTTTTATCAGACTATTAAGCATGCAGGAATATGTGCCATTAAGATGCCTATTTCCTTTCCTTCGCTTATCTTTGGAATTATTCTTAATCAGCATCCTGGAATTCTAAGTGGTAATGATGTAGTGTGAAAGAGGGAGTCTACTTTGACCCTTCACTTCAAGCTTTTTTCAGAAAAACATGTCCCAGACATTGTTTTGGCATCTGCATCTGCTGAAAATAAGACCTCCACCAAGGATGATATGATCACTGAACTAAGGGAAGCCTGCAAAGAATTAGATGATGTGATCAGAGTTAGCTCAGTAAGAAAGCTAACTTTTGAAAAGATGATCAAGGAGCTACAGAAGGACAAAAACTGTGATGGTAGAGTGAGCTTTGAAGAAGAAGATTCTAGTGAAGAAGGAAGTTTTGGCTCTGCCAAGTCTATTGGTCCTGAAGACAGTTAGACTATTTGTTGTTTATTCATTTGACCCCTTTGTTTCTTTTTAGCACTTGTATGTGCTTGAATTTTGAATTATATGGTCTGTACCTATATTACTGATACACTCTTGAATGCATCCTTCTATTTTGCATATTATGACTAAAAAGGGGATGAGAAACTGACTACCTGACCACTGATTGTGGGAGAGCTTAATATTTGAGGGGGAGCCTCGTGTCTCAGAAGATGTTCTGACATCTTCCTTTGCTAACAGATAACTTCTAACTGAGTTTTTGCTTGCTCTGCTTGCTTTTCTTATGTTGCTGCTCTGATAATGTTCTTATAATGTGCTCAAATAATGTTTTAGCCAAAATTTGCCAAAGGGGGAAGTTTGTAAGTGTTTGTTGGCAGCAATTTTGGTAAAACAATGCTTTGATAATGTTTTGCTAAATGTCTTGACATTTGGAGCAAATTGTTTCTGAATGATGTCAAAGAAGATATCTTGACATCTGCCTCTTGAGATGAATGCAACTCACATCAGTTTAAGTTTTCTGTTTCCTGTTTTCATGCGTGCCATAATTCAGGATTTGTGACTCATAGGCTGCGAAAAATATGGAAGAATATTTTTCTATTTGAATTATCCTTATGGATTATATCTTGGCATGTTTTCATGGAAATATTCAAAAGATTGGAATATTTGTTTTTCAACCCAAGCCCACTGATGCGCCTTTATTAGGACTTGTTTCCTTATTCATTCAACAACAACTTTTGAAGAAGAATACTTTCTTTCTATTTTAGAAGTCTAAGTCTTTTAATTGTCATACACTCTAGTACTGATTTAATACTTGAGTTGTTATTTGAGTTGTTGATTGTGGATCATTCATAAGCTTTTAAGTATTAAATGATTGAAGTCTTTAAAACTTATTATTTCAGTTGTTCTTCACTGTAAGTGATTGAAGGGATTTGAGGAGGGCCTCATACCTAGTTGTGTCTTAGGTAGAAGTATAGTGCAGGTAGTGATTAAGTGATTAAATTGTAAACTGGTTATTTACTAAGGATCTATGAATTGATACTATTTAGTGGATTTATCTCTGGCTTGGTAGCCCCCAGAGTAGGTGTTGTTGTACACTGAAGTGGGTTAACAATCCCTTATGTTTTTACTGTTTTACTTTTGTTGCATTTTACATTGTCCTCAAATATTTGTGTCGCGACATCTCCTTTGATATCTCATATCTGATACCAGAATTTCAATGACAAATACAATCATCAATATCTCTCTACCTTGAATAAAACTTCTTTATCGAAGGAAATAATCTTGAACATGATAGTATAAGTATATATGTTAAATGTATTAAACAAAAATGATGATGATGATATGAGATATTAGAATTACATCCTCAAATAAAGAATTTACTATGTGCACACAAAATAATGCATAATATAAAAAACACATAAAATAAATAATAATTTATAAGTGACAATTTTACAATGGAAGATATGGAAAATTTTATAAGGAGATTTAAACTCAAAACTTGTTCAAAACTAGTAATAAACTCGCGCACTCGCACGGATTCTGGTACGAAACACATATTTTGTTTAAGATGTATATTTTCTTAGACAAAATTCTTATATTAAAATTAATAATCATTTTGTGGAAAAAAAACATAATGAATTAATAATTTATATTGTGTGTAAAAAAAATATGAACAAAATTTAAAGCCACACAAATAAAAATAAATAAATAAATAGCTTAAATTAAAAATAAATTGAGGAAATATTGTAACATAAAGTTGGTAAGAAGATTTGAGCAATTAATTTGTAGAATAATTATTCAAATTAGGTTTTTAAAAAATTTATTATAACAGACATGCATTACTCAAATGGGTCAGATAACTAAGGAAGGCCCATTGAAAGTATATCAAAGCCCATTGAAGTTATGACAAACAAAAGGAATGTGTATTTTATGAAGCGGGACATTCATCAGTTTCCAAAAGTCAGGAGTTTTAACGCAACCTTCCAAATTCCCAAAATCCCAGTATGTTTGGTGACGATTCGTTCATTTCTCTGACTCATAGGTTCGTTAGATTTCCAATCATCGTTTATGAATGTCTCTCTAAAGTATGTTCTGAAGATGTTTGAGATTTTGTTGTTTGCTTATAGCATACGAAGGTCATATGAGGTTATGGATCGTGAAGCTGCATGGAGAAGAATGTGGCTTGATGAGATTTACCTAAAATCTGAAGCAGAGATTGGAATGGGTTCTGGTGTGAAGAACAACCCCGTCACACAAACTGGGGTTGGTTGTTCCAAGACGGTGGGTGGAGGCAATAGTGGTGAGCCGCTATGGAATATCCTTCAGCTGAAGTGAAGGACGACATGCACGACTTCGAAGAATGCAAAGGACCCACTGAAGGCTTGGTCGGGATAGGAAAAACTATCGCTTTACCTGCACAGCCTGATGTGATAGTGACTTCATCTGAATGTGAAGGGTAAGTTTGTACAATAAGTGTAGTTAATGGTTATTATGTGGTCTGAAACTTAAAAAATATGAATTGACACTTTAGGGTTGTGCAAATGAATTTAAATGATATGAGCATGGTGAACTGTAGGCTATAGTTAGTAAAGGAGCAAGGTCAATTGTAGTGTATAGTTAGTATTGCATTATATTTGTTAAAAAAAGTGTTGTTACAATAGGGTTTGCCATTTGAAGTAAAATATAATGAGTTAGCTTATGTAATGGTTGAGAAATGATAGTCTGTGAATATTTATGTCGCAGTTCTGATAAGGAAAGTGGTGATGAAGAAGTTCTGGAGCGGCCTGAAGACTATGAAGTGAGGGAGGAAGTACTTGGTTCACTTGGAAGGGCATTTGTATGGAGAAGCAAGATAGAGTCGTGAGAGGTTGCAAGAAAAAAATGTCCTTGTAAGTCTCTTACTATACACAATTATAGTTGTTTATGTGGTTATGTAGTGTGCTTAATGTACTTCGACATATTTGGATATGCAGCAATTGCCTCAGAAAGTGATTAAAGAGTGTCTAGTGGACATTGAATGCAAGAGGAGGGATTATGCTCTATTCGCCACATTTATAATAAATTGTACTGAGGGGGTGTGGTTAAAAAAAAGAAGGCATGTGAATGCATACAAAAGGTTATTTACAAATATGTTGAATTGATATTTTATTTTAACATACCACTAATTGTAGAAGCTGGATCCCATAGGCAAGAAATAGTATTTTTATATGATACATTTACAATGAGGATGTCGATTTTGTAAGATATTTTTACTATAATGACTTGAGGTTGCCATTAAAAGTGTGTTAGAGGGAATATATTCCTTTGAGACATAAAGACAAAAGATTCATAAAGCAACCTAATGTTGGGACTGTTTGCACGTGAAAGAAACATTGTTTGATGTGCATAGTTGAGATATAAATTGAAGCACACATACAAAGTGTTTTGCAAAGTAAAACCAGTAAAACTAAAATAATAGCACTTCTCAATCTCTCATTTTGTATACCAGGCTCTGTAGAAAAATATCAAAACTGAACTTTGCGGAATTCTCAAACACTCGGACATGATTGACTATTTCATAATTGCCAAGATATCGTCAGGTTTGTTTTTTATTGGTTTCAATGAAGCTTGTTTGAAGCTTGTAAAAAATATACAGTAACTTCTGAAGCCATTTAGCGTAGATCTGCCGAAATTAATTGAGTTGTTATTTAGTTGTAGATTTTAATTTTTATGTGATTATGTCACATAGTATAACATCAAACACTAATTTTTATTGAATTGTAGAAATTGCAGGAGGACTTTGCAACCGTACTGAGAGACAATGTGTATGAAGATATTGTGTTGTGTGGTGACAACGGGAAGACTAAATTCATGTTGTTGTTCAAAATTGCAGACCCTCGCCACACAAAGTTAGGATATGGATGGGATGAATTTTATAAGTCGAATAACTTTAAAGCCGAAGATAGACTTCGATTTAGATTTGATGTCACTTCTTTGAACAAAACATGTTATGTATATTTATTTATATTTATTTATGTTATGTATATTTATTTTTGTAAGCATAAGACATATTTATGTCGGTAACATGGTATTCCAAATAATTTATATTTAAATTAAGTCTTAATGGTATGAAGATAAATAACATGTTGATATTCTTGCTTTATAATGGATAGTGTACATCAACGCACATTGAGTTAAACCTTATAAATTTGAAACACAATGCGAACAGCCCCAAAAAAAACCTTACAGTACCATTTGAGATTAAAAAAACCGTGAAAGGAATTTTCTCATCAGAGTGGCTGTGCATTCCAGACCCATATCAAGAGAGGCAGTTTGAAAACTGAAATGGAGTATTTTTCCTGCAAAGCCAAAAAGAAAATACTAATTACAGTTAAAATATATTTGGACAACACCTTGTAACATCAAATCAGAAATTCAATATAAACGTACAAAAGTGTTACCTGAATTAGGAAACATTTATATACTGTTGAAAATTTCTTTGTAAACAACGTTGGTAGTTGTCGACTTAAACTTGTCATTTTCATCATATATCAATATTTTTATTCCTTGTTCAGTTGAGACCCTTGATAGTGCAACATAGATTTGACCATGAGTGAATACACTCTTGGCAAGTAAAGTCTCACTGTATCCATAGATTGTCCTTGAGATTTGTTGATTGTCATTGCATATGAGACCACTATTGGAAATTGACGCCGATTAAGTATGAAAAGTCTAGGAGATTGCAAGGGTGACATATCTATTAGAGGGATGTAAACCAAGTTCCCATAATCTTTTCCGGCCATTATTTTTGCTTCGATGACATGGTTGGCCATCTTAGTTATCATTAGCCTAGTGTCGTTACACAAACCCTCCGACTGATTTATGTTTCACATAAGTATAACAGGTGTTCCAACCTTCAACTTAATGTGATGGTTAGGTAACCCTGGAGTACTTAATGAACTGAGAAACTCTGGTGTGAGAATATCAACTACATTTGTGTCATGAATTTCAGACTTATCGACAAAATTTGAGTTGTAGCAATCCATTATTTCCCATAAATTAGAAATATTGGCATGTCGGTGAATTTAATTAATATAACATATACTTAGAAGGTTCGGGAAGAGGATGACAACCTGACATCAAATCAAGGACGTGATTGTTTATTTGATCAACAACATCTAATGTAGAAGCAAGTATCGCACGACTTTGAGGTAATCGTTGGATTGCTAATGATGGATGAAATCAGGGTATGTACTATTCACAATGGTAACAATAGGGTTGTCATAATATGTGATTAAAAGTTCCGAAGGCAACTCAATGTCGACAAATCCATCATTTGGCTTAGAGAGTTTGCCTTCACCAATTTGTAGCAGCCACTTTGAGAAGTTTGCTATTTCTTTCTTTTCAATTTCAATTGGGTCGAGTCAATCACATGTTTTGTGTTAAAGTTAAAACTTGAACGGAATTCCATATGTAAGAAGAATTTATCCAGAGTGTACAATATAAGAGCGACTCCCTCTGGGAACAACGGGAAAAATCTGTCTAAAATCACCATTGAACACAACTACTTTGCCACCAAACACATCCTCTGAATTACTATACGTACTCATCACATCCTTCAAAGTTCGTTCGAGTGCTTCAAAAGTATGCTTGTGTGTCAAGGGTGCTTCATCCCATATAATAAGCTTTGTCTGCCTTAGAAGCTTTGCAACGTCATTGCCGTAGTTAATTTTGTAGGTCGAATTTTCCATTGCTGGCACGGGTATCTTGAATTTAGAATGTGCAGTTCTACCTCTGGGAAATAACAGAGAAGTTATTCCACTTGTTGCAACAGTTAAACATATATCATGTTTGGACCTCAAAGCACTTGCAAGTGTTTGTCACATGTAAGTTTTTCCGATTCCCCCATAACCATGTAGGAAGAACACCCCACTCTTTTGAGCATGGACAGATGCCATAATTTTATCAAAGATTGTCCTTTGCTCATCTAAGGAAAAGTCAGCAAGAATAAATATATCAAACGAATGTAAGGGAAAAGGCAATTGATTCAACAATCATGAGTACGTACCTGTTAGAGCATCGTAAAGGTTTGTGAATTCGGATCTCATTGTAGACACATCATAACTTCGTTCAACATGTATTAGTCAATTGCCTAATTATTGTAGAGCATACCCGTCTGGATATGGAATTGGTTAAAATCTGTGAGACTTCACCAGTTTTTCAATCTTAGTTAAAGTCAAATTCAACAACTGCTCTTCAGTCAAAACCAATTTTGCTCTGTTGATAGTACAACACAAAGTCAATGTAGAGTTAGAAGTGATAAATTTAGTACATAACATAAACATAAAATCTATGATAAATTAGAAGCATGGATTATTGTCACAGTTTGGCAAAGTCAACGAAAAAGTTATGGTAGGGTTAATATTGTTGATACAGGATATATGGTTTTAGAAGCAAAATGGTGACTTTTTGAGTAATTAGAGAGGCAGCATGATTTAATACAGAGTTAGAATGAATTACAAAGCATAATAGTTTACTACATAACAGGTTCTAATCAGGGTAGTAAACCGTTTTTTCACCTACTAAATGATAAAACAAACGTCCCACCGCTGGTTTCCTTTCATGATTGTTGTAAGAGTAAATTCTCCAACACGCTTCACTTGGGAAGACATACCTACAATCCAAATAGGGTTTGATCTCATCAACTGGCTCATTGTCGTTCCTTAACCTAGAGTTTGAAGGGACAATTGTTGTTGTGATTCTATCAAATCCTTTATGTATATACTTGAATAGATATTTGATAGATATAATTTGGTTACACCATTCCATTTTAATATGTGCATGGTACTTCAAAAGTAATCTTGTATTGTAAGGTACAACATTTTGATTGTCCAAAGCGATACCATTTTTGTGAATCACATGGGAATTAGATTGTCTTATGTAAAGGGGATAGCCCTCTGCATCAACAACCGTAGCTTCTTGGTAATTTTTTGGGAAGTATTTAGAGCATTTTCTATTTTTCATACACAGTGATTTCATGCGTGATGGACCACAAGGTCCGTGCATCATGTGTGCTGACACTAAGTTGTAAAACCTTGGATGAACATTGGAGTCCGAAATCTCAGCACAAATGATCTTATCTATGTCAGATGGTGTTGGGTATTTTCTATGAGGGTGTAAAAAGACTAAAATGTGAGCATGTGGCAATCCTCGCTTCTAAAATTCAATCGTGTACGTAACGGTAACAAAACAAAAAAACGTATTGGTATAGATTAACAAAGAGTGTGAATATTTGCATTTCAACATTTCGGTAAGAACACTTACATGGCAACACCTCCCCTTTCCAAGCACATGGTGTTTGGTTATATAAGTCATGAGCTTGTCAAATTTGATTTTGAAAACTTTGACAATAAGATATGGTCTATCATGTGTCTTTAACGTAGTGCCGAACAAGACACGTGCTATTTTCGGCCAAGAAGGATTGCAAGTAAATGTAACAAATAAATTAGGGAGTCCCAACTTACTTGAAATGGACATACTATCAAAATAAAGTTGATCCATGTATCGCTTGTTCCCAACAAAATTTGATGGCAACACCACACACTTTCCTCGCTTTGGTTCCGTATTTGCTTGAGGACCACGACATTGATCATTCAACTGGTTATATTTTCCAACTCGTAACTTAAATTTATTAGTCCTCAACCAATTGATTCGTTCGAACTCCATCATTGTGAATCCATCAACCAAAAACTGTTGAAATTTTCGTCTTCAATGAAGCAATGTTTTAGCCTCTGAATGACGCTCATGCAGTCGAAATGATAGCCAATCTTTGACGGATTGACGGTTTTTCCTGGTAACCTCACATTCATGCTCATATTTGTGAAAAATATTTTTCATGTATCAATCCTTGTCGTAGACAAAAATGAGAGAGTATTGATAAGCTAAGTCCGCAAGATGAAACTCATCAATTAATTGCAAATATCCATTGCGTGCGTGAATAATAATGTCTTAGTATTGTCGGATCGATATCTCCAACAATCAGAGCAGCAACTTCTGACACAGTTGGTGTGTTGTAGACACGGCCATCTTCGGGTCTATCACTAATTAGCCATAATTTTAAGTCTAAGAATGTGTTGGCTCTCAAAATATCTCTTGCCATCCGAAAAGCCTTTGCATGAACATTGCATTCGTCTAACATAACCTTCGATTTGCAGACAATGTCCCTGTTGACCACTTTGTTGTCCCTGCATGTTGTGATAAAAAAGATGGTTAATATGTTGTTATAGTGGTGATTACTCAATTATCCATCGTTGATAAAGTACAAATACCTGAAACACTTCATTCGGTTATCTATTTCATTATCAGTGTCAAAAATATAAATTTGAGCATATTGTGGATGATGTCCATCTTCCGATATCAATGTACCTATTCGATGACAGGTTTGACCGTGCAATCTTAAAGTAGGTGGTCCTCCTCCATTAGTAAAGGTGTTGTTGAATTTCATTCTAGGTTAAGTGAATGAAAACATGGCGTTGAAAGTTCAAATGTTGTTGTGGTAGTTTTTACTATCTGGACATGTTCCATTATATAGATGTTGCAGCAGTTGCGGAGAATCCTTTAGTAACGACAGCACAATCTTTCCACTCCTACAACACCGATGGAAATTAGGAAAAATTGTTGGAAATCTTGGTATGATGTAAACTTGGAGTGGGAGTTGGAATGCTTCATTGATATTAAATGGGCAATAAATGAGCACAAGTAAGAACTAGTATGGAAGTGAATTTGAAGAGATTCATTTTAGTCCCACATAGGAGGGATTATAAATACTAGT